CATAAGTCCCCCTTTTAAGGTAGGTCATAATTTCAAATAGCTGCTAAGTGACCGGTCCTAAGAGGAGGACTAGTTGTATACCAAGCAGGTTAACTTTCCAGAATTCCATTCTTCCTACCCTGATTCCTCCCTCCCTTTCCCCACCAACTCTGGCAGCTGCCACCCTACAGCTCAGCGTTGCGCCAGATGCTTATCCTTAATTGGAGCATCGGCAACGATTCACCCAACCCTCTGTGCAGCCGTAAGTGTCAAAATTATGCACACTTGCAAAATAACTCTGTCTTCAGAGACTGCGCTCCCTCTCTCCCTCTCTCTCTCTCCTCCCTCTCTTAATTGGTGCTAACACTTTTCAGCTGAAATTATGCCTGAGTGCATTACATCAGGTTGCAAACATGTGCTAATTGGCACCGATGGCTACTTAAAGCTCTTTCAGGAGGCAGAGTTTTAAAAGCTGCGCAGGAAACTGTGATTTTTTTTGGAGCAGAGGGAGAAGAGAGTTTTTAAAAATCCACCCAAAATCAGCAGCCCAGAGGCAGGGTGGGTCTGAAATTGGAGGGCTAAGAGAATTCCATCTGATGTGCTAACCCACCCACCCCACTGCCCCCTTACCTGCACTGTGCATGTGTGTGCCTCTCAGCTGATTTTCGGCCCGTTTGAGGGCTTTTTCGGCCTCCCAGACACTCAACAACCTCAGGAGGCCTTCTGGAAATACCGGAAGTTCCCATTTTCAGTCTCCTGGGGGTCTCTGGAGCCCGGGGGAGGCCATTTTCACCTTCCCGGGGTTTGAGGGAAGTCTCTGCAGCCTTTGGAGGCTGAAAAACAGACCCGTTTCGGCAATTCTGGTATTTCTGGAAGGCCTGTTTTTCGGCCTTCCGAGGCTGAAGAGGCTTCCCTCAAGCCTCTGGGAGGCTGAAAATGGCCACAAACGGCCCAAAAATCAGCTGGGAGGCGCATGTATGCACAGTGCAGGTAAGTTTGGCTCCCGTGCCCGCACAAATGGCTCTGCATGCCACCTGTGGGATGTGTGCCATAGGTTCGCCATCATGGTCCTATATCAAGCTACCCAGAATCCCTCGATAGTGAGATTGAATTAATAAATAGCAATAGCACTTAGCCTTCTCTCAAAGGAAATTTTTGAAAAGGCAACCGGACCATCTTTCCTTGAGGAAGAAGATATTTCGCTTCTCATACAAGAAGCTTCATCAGTTCATGGATGAGAAGCGAAACATCTTCTTGCATAAGGAAAAATATAATCGAGTTGCCTTTTGAAAAAGCACCTTTGAGACAATCATGAGCTGGATGACTGAGAATCTCCACAGACACTTAGACTTATATATTGCTTCACGGTACTCTCTAAGCAGTTTATAGAGTGAGCATATTGCCCTCTCCCCCAAAATCTGGGCCCTCATTTTACCGACCTCGGAAGGATGGAAGGCAGAGTCAACCTTCAGTAAGTCAGGGTCGAGCTCCTGACAGTGGGCAGTCGGCCTTCAATACTGCATTCTAACCACTGCGTCACCGCAGCTCATGTTAAATCAAGGGTGTCATACTCAATTCCATTGCTCAGGGCTGTGGTTGACCTCAGTGGTGTGTGTGTGTGTGTGTGTGTGTGTGTGTGTGTGTGTGTGTCCAACTGGGAGGGTGTGGTCAACTGGGCAGGTATGGCCAGCTTGATGTCATTCACTTGGCGCCATTGACTGGGTGGGTGTGGCCAGCGTGATGCCACTTCCCAAACAACTGGCATATGTCCTCTTTGCACTGGGTAGACTGGGCCGAAGCAACATGGGCTGGCCCCTTACATTTTCCAGGATGACCCCACTGGTCAGATCCGACCACATTGCAGGCCAGATGCGGCCCGTGAGCAGGGGTAGGCTTCAAAAATGCAACGGGTTCTCTGCCAGGTTGCTGGGTGGGCGTGGCCTAGTCAGCCTCCTGCATCATGGTGGAGGGGGTCATTTTTGCCCTTCCCGGGCTCCAGAGGCTTTCCCTGAGCCTCCGGGAGTGCAAAAATGGCCTTTCTGGGCTCTGGAAGCTGGAAATAGGCCAGGGGTGGGATTCAATTTTTTTAACAACCAGTTCTGTGGGTGTGGCTTAGTTGGTGGGTGTGGCTTGGTGGTCATGTGATTGGCTGGGCATGGCCAACTCAACACCACTCTCACTGAGGCACGCATCTCCTTGCCTGGGCTCTTATGACTTTGGGGATGCTGCAATAGTCGTAAGTGTGAAAAATGGTCATAAGTCACTTTTTCAAGTGCCATTGTAACTTTGAATGGTCGCTCCACACAAGAAAAGTACCAGCAAAGGAAGGGAAAAAAATTCCAGAGACATTCCTGAGACAGGAAGTCTAGTCCTGCCAAGAATGTAATAAGGGTTAACGGAGAGGCAGTTTCTGTAAGCAACCCCAGAATGTTTCCTTCCTGCCTTCCTTACAGGATTAGGCCAGTAATTTCTTCTAACAACCGGTTCTCCGAACTGCTTAGAATGTTAACGACCGGTTCTAGCGAATAGGTGTGAACTGGTAGAATCCCACCCCTGAAATAGGCCCATTTCCAGCCTTCCTGAACTTCCGGGAGGCCTATTTTTCGCCCTCCCCGACCCTCTGCGCACACCCTGCACTTACCTACATCCAAAACGGGCCTCCTGGGAGGGGTGAGGTGGGCGGGCCCAGCCAGGAGTGGGATTTGGGGGTTCTCCAGACTGCACTGAATCTTAGCTAGGGGCTCTCCCGAAGCCCTGAAAACCACCAGCAGCCCACCCCCTGCCCGTGGGCCTTGTGCTGGACACCCCTGTGTTAAATGTTAAGGCTGCACAAGTGATCGAGGAGATCGCTATAAAACCTTCTCAACAACTCCGTGAGGTAAAGCAGGCAAGAGATAAGAATTTGCATCAAGCTTTAAGGGCTGAATGGGGATTTGAACCCAGCCAAATCAGGAAAGCAGTGATTATTTCAGAGAAGCCTCCGGGGTAAAACGCTGAACACAGCTACCCGTGATTGTATGAGAGTTTTCTGCAGTAGGGACCAAATGTAAGCAATTCATTAGCATACGGAGAGTGAGTCAATTCTTCCACGCCTACCATGGTCCTCCTCATGTGTTCTCCTAACTTTAGCAATTAAATGTATATGAAAAATGTTATAAAGACAAGAAAATTCTGTTTCTTCCCCCCCTCCCCTCTTTTTAAATTAAATTTGGTGACCACGGGCAATGCACCGAAGAAATGCTGCCACTCCCTTACCTGGAGATGACGGAAAATGGAAATGCGGCGCTCGATCGAAATGTATATAGGTAGTCCTCTACTTACGACTACGTTCACCATTTGTGACCTCAACAGGCTTTCAACAAAGCCTGTTATTGTGATCATGTGATGACCGTGATAAAAAGGTTCATAAAGGAAGTTCATTTACATGATAGCAATAGCACTTAGACTTATATACCGCTTCACAGTGCTTTACAGCACTCTCTAAGCGGTTTACAGAGTCAGCCTATCACCCCAACAATAATCAGGGTCCTCATTTTACCCACTTCGGAAGGATGGAAGGCTGAGTCAACCTTGAGCCTGGTCAGATTTGAACTGCCAAGTTGCAGGCAGCTAGCGGTCAGCAGAAGTAGCCCTGCAGTACTGCACTCTAACCACTGCACCACCATGGCTCATGATGCCGCACTTAACATCTACACCAGAGGTGTTATTCAGCAGGTTCTGACGTGTTCTGGAGAACCAGTAGCGGAAATTTTGAGTAGTTCGGAGAACCGGCAAATGCCACCTCTGACTGGCCACGCCCTCACTTATTCTCTGCCTCTCAATGAGTCCCAGCTGACTGGCTGGGTCTTCTTTGGTTGCCCTGCACAGGAGAACAGAGCTGGAAAGCAGGTTAGTGGGGTGGGGAGGGAATGGGGATTTTACAGTATTCTTCCCCTGCCACACCCACCAAGCCACGCCTACAGAAGCAGTAGTAAAAAAAAATTGAATCCCACCACTGATCTACACTGCTTAATGATGAATTTTCCGGTCTCAATTGTGATTGTAAGTCGAGGACTTCCTTTCATGTACCAAGTCTAGCTACTGTAATATTGTCCTGCAACAATCCTGATTTAGTATCCCTTCACAGTACTGTGGGATATGAACAGGGGGTGGATTCTACCAGTTCGCACCGATTCGCTAGAACCTGTTGTTAACATTCTAAGCAGTTTGGAGAACTGGTTGTTAGAAGAAATTACTGGCCTAATCCTGTAAGGAAGGCAGGAAGGAAACATTCTGGTGTTGCTTGCAGAAACTGCCTCTCCGTTAACCCTTATTTACATTCTTGGCAGGACTAGACTTCCTGTCTTAGGAACTTCTTTGGAATTTTTTTTCCTCCGTTGCTGGTACTTTGCTTGTGTGGAGTCACCATTCAAAGTTACAATGGCACTGAAAAAAGTGACTTCTGACCATTTTTCACACTTACGACTGTTGCAGCATCCCCACAGTCATGAGAGGCCAGGCAAGAAGCGTGCCTCGATGTGAGTGATATTGAATTGACCACACCCAGCCAATAACATGACCACCAAGCCACTCCCACCCAGTCACATGACCACCAAGCCACTCCCACCAACTAAGCCATGCCCACAGAACCGGTTGTTAAAACATTTGAATCCTACCCCTGGATATGAACAGCAGTAGCAATAGCACTTAGACTTATATACTGCTTCAACAGGGCTTTACAGCCTTCTCTAAGCAGTTTACAGAGTCAGCCTATTGCCCCCCCCCAAAATCAGGATCCTCAGAAGGATGGAATGCTCAGTCAACCTTGAGCCACTCAGAATCGAACTCCTGGCAGTAGGCAGTGACCCAGCCTGCAACGCTGCCTTCTAACTCCTGCGCCACCAGGGCTCTGAAAATGGGACCCAAGCCCAGCCACTCCCATTAGGAAAGACCCCTCTTCTCAAGGTGCTTCCACAATTTGCAGGCTCCCTGCGCTCGACGGAAGGATGTTGCAGCAGAAATCAAATTCCAAGTCAACTTACTGTTTTCATCAACTTCGTTGGACAGCGAGTAGCTTATATCTCCCCCAAGAGCCGAGGAAGGACTCGGGACCATGCCAGCTGACATCTCAATGGCATTGTCTGCCATTTCATGCCCTCCCAAGGCCAAGGCGGTCAACGTAGTGGGCAGCATGGTGCTACCCTCTGGGTTCCCATCAGTCTTTCCCAGCTCCTCTTTCCACTGTGCCTGGAAGTACCGCCCGTTCAGTCCCGTGTAAACGTTCTGATTCGATTCAGGGATGCCAGCTGAAGCTGGTGTTGCCCCAGTGGCAGCGGTGGGATCTTTTGAAGAAGTGGGGGACGGAATTAGGAAGGGAATGGTTGGACGGTCCTTTAGGATTGGAACTTGAGATGGTTGCGGAGAGGCAGCATTCTGTGGGAATAAACCCTCGGTGTTTCCCTGCAACCAGGTTGGAGTGACCAGATGAAGGTCTGCACCTGGTGAGTTGCCATCCTCAGCGTCTCCCTCCAAAGACGTCTTGCCCAACATCGAAACCATGCTCAGTGACTCTTCCGTGACATTCATCGTATCAGCATCATCAACTACGGTGAATAATTTGCCATCGTGAAGAACATCTACCGAGGGTTCTGTGACAGCCCCCCTTACTTCTCCATTTAGAAAAGAGATATTGGGTACCATGGAGCTCTCTTCCACGCTGTCTCTTCTGACTGGGAAAGCTGTTACCATCTGGAGCTGCTCATCTTCTTCCAGTAACGGCACCGCCATTTTGTGTAAGGGGCCGTAAAGGTCCTTGGCTGATTCTTTGGAATCTGCTGACATGATAGCTTCCTCGTTTTCCCTGGGGAATAGCTCGTTCTGGCTCAAAAAGGACAGGTCAGGATCCTGCTCCACCAAGATGTTCTCCATTCCTGATTCGTGGCTTCCCTCCGAATATGGGTCCATGGCCTGATGGACAGATCCCTCTACAAAGGCTGCCCTGTCCAGTATCTTGGCCAACTGATGCCCTGCAAAGGGATAAAAAGAGAATTATGGATTCAGGAAAAACTCAACCGCTGGAGCAAAGCCTTTTCTGAACAGGTGCTTTCCAAATTGACACTCCGGAAAGAGTGCAGAGAAGAGCAACAAAGATGATTAGGGGACTGGAGGCTAAAACATATGAGGAACAGTTGCTGGAATTGGGTATGTCTAATTTAATTAAAAGAAGGACTGGCGTGACACGATAGCAGTGTTTCAGTATCTCGGGGGCCGCCACAAAGAGGGAGTCAAGTTATTCTCCAAAGCACCTGAGGGTAGGACAAGAAGCAATGGAATGGAAACTGATCGAGGAGAGAAGCAACTTAGAACTAAGGAGGAATTTCCTGACAGTTAGAACTGTCAGGAATCAGTGGAACAACTTGCCTACAAAAGTTGTGGATGCTCCAACACTGGAAGTTTTTAAGAAGAGATTGGACAACCATTTGTCTGAAATGGTAGAGGGTTTCCTGCCTAAGCAGAGGGTTGGACTAGAAGACCTCCAAGGTCCCTTCCAACTCTTCTTGTTATTCTGTTACACGTGCTGCACTTCAACTCCCAGAACCCTTCAACTCCCAGACCTGACTGAGGTATTCTGGGGGTTGAAGTCCAGCACACCTGAGGTAGAGAATCGGCAAGGACTGTTCGGGAAAAAATTAAAAGAGAGAAAAGGTAGATTAAAAAACAAATCAGCCAGCGAGGCATGCAAAGATTGGATAGAAAGCATTTATATTCAAAATAGGAAAGGGTGAGAAGGGAGGGGAGAAACGTTCACTCGTGCAGCTCAGACAGATGCACCCAGGCAATGCCTCCGGCATACTAATAGACATTCCCTGAAGCCCAGCGTGTGGGTGTGCATGTGTGAGCCTTAAGAGTGAGCACAGAGAAGGCTGGCGTGCCAGGATAATTAACTTAGAAACGATCTTCATCATTATTCCAGTCTACCTTGGACAAGCTGTGTGCAGGAATCTTGGTCCCTTAAAGGTCGAAAACAGAAACTTTGAACTTGAATCAGGACAGGGGGTCCTCGCCTTATGACGGTCACTTCGCGGCTGCCTGAACTTATGGCAGGCCTCCCGACAGCTGCTTGCAACCCAGTGTTCCAATGGCGCTCTCCTTGCGGTCACGTGACCACATTTGGGGCCCTTGGCAACCGGCCCGCATTTAGGACGGTTTGCAGTGTCGCACATTCACACGAGTGATTGATGTTTGTTGTCAGAAAATGGGCACTTGGGTTTCCACTCCCCCCACCCCCGCAAAAAAAAGAAAAAAGAAAACCCATCATTTATTGACAACAGTACAGAAAAAAGTGAATTATGATCATTTTTCACACTTTAGATCAGAGGTCTCCAAACTTGGCCACTTTAAGGCTTGTGGACTTCAACTCCCAGGATTCTCCAGCCAGCATAGCTGGCTGGAGAATTCTGGGAGTTGAAGTCCACAAGCCTTAAAGTGGCCAGGTTTGGGGACACCTGCTTTAGATTATTGCAGCATTCCCATGGTCAATGTGATCGAAATTCAGATGCTTGGCAACTGACTCATATTTATGACGGTTGCAATGTCCCAGGGTCACATGATCTGCCTGTTATGACTTCAACTCTCAGAACCCTTCAAGCCAAGTCAATGGGGAAATCAGATTCACTTAACAACTGCGTTACTCATATACAGTAACAACTGCAGTGATTCACTTAACAACTGGGGTAAGAAAGGTCGTAAAATGGGGCAAAACACGCTTAACAGCCTAGTGACATAAATTTTGGGCTTGTGGTCATAAGTCAGGAACCATCTGTATAGTTGAGGTGGTCCTCAACCTTATGATCACAACTGAGCCCATAATGTATGTTGTTAAGTGAGATGCTTGTTAAGTGAGTTTTGCCCCATTTTATGACATTTCTTGCCCAGTGAATCGCTGCAGATGATCAGTTAGTAACTGGTCGTTAAGTGAATCTGGTTTCCCTGTTGATTTGGCTTGCCAGAAGGCTGAAAACGGGGGAATCACATGACCTCTGGATGCTGCAACCGTTGTAAGTATGAACCAGTTGGCAAACATCTGAATTTTGATCATACGATCATGGGGATGCTGCAAAGGTCGTAAGTGTAAAAAACGGTGGCAAGCCATTTTTTTTCAGTGCCACTGTAACTTCGAACGGTCACTAAACGAACTGTTGTAAATCGAGGACTCCTAGTATTCCCCTCCCACCATTATTTTACCATCCTTTTGAGCACAGAGAGATGGGGAAGGGAATGGTAAGAATAGAATTCTTTATTGGCCAAGTGTGATTGGACACACAAGGAATTTGTCTTTGGTGCATAAGCTCTCAGCGTACATAAAAGAAAAGATTCATTCGTCAAGAGTCATCAGGTACAACACTTAATGATAGTCATAGGGTACAAATAAGGAATCAAATGATGCTAGGGAACAGTCAATATAAATCGTAAGGATACAAGTGACAAAGTTACAGTCATACAGTCGCAAGTGGGAGGGTCATAAGGAGTGATGAGAAGATTAATAACAACAGTAGTGCAGACTTTGTAAATAATTGGACAGTGTTGAGGGAATTATTTGTTTAGCAGAGTGATGGCATTCGGGAAAAAACTGTCCTTGTGTCTAGTTGTTCTGGTGTGCAGGGCTCTATAGTGTCATTTTGAGGGTAGGAGTTGAAACAGTTTATGTCCGGGATGTGAGGGGTCTGTAGATATTTTCACAGCCCTCTTTTTGACTCGTGCAGTATACAGGTCCTCGATGGAAGGCAGATTGGTAGCAATTGTTTTTTCTGCAGTCCTAATTATCCTCTGTAATCTATGTCTGTCTTGTTGGGTTGCAGAACCAAACCAGACAGTTATAGAGGTGCAGATGATAGACTCAATAATTCCTCTGCAGAACTGGATCAGCAGCTTCTTGGGCAGTTTGAGCTTTCTGAGTTGGCGCAGAAAGAACATTCTTTGTTGTGCTTTTTTGACGACGTTTTTGAAGTTAGGTGTCCATTTTAGGTCATGTGATATAGTAGAACCTCGAAATTTGAAGGTCTCTACTGTTGATACTGTGTTATCTAGTAGTGTAAGAGGTGGTAGTTTGGGAGGGTTTCTTCTAAAGTCTACCACCATTTCTACAGTTTTGAGTGTGTTCGGTTCCAGATTGTTCCAGTTACACCACGAGGCAAGTTATATAACCTCCTGTCTATATGTGGATTCGTCGTTGTCTCAAATGAGACCAATCACTGTTGTGTCATCAGCAAACTTCAGCATTTTAAAAGATGGGTCGTTTGAGATGCAATCATTGGTATATAGGGAGAAGAGAAGTGGAGAAAGCACACAGTCTTGGGTGGGTGTGTGTGCTGATTGTACAGGTATCAGATGTGATTCTGCCTAGCTTCACCTGCTGCTTCCTGTCTGTTAAGAAAAAACTGTTCGAAAAAAAACTGTCCTTGTGTCTAGTTGTTCTGGTGTGCAGTGCTCAGTTTATAGCATCGTTTTGAGGGTAGGAGTTGAAACAGTTTGTGTCCAGGATGTGAGGGGTCTGTAAATATTTTCACAGCCCTCTTTTTGACTCGTGCAGTAAACAGTGTAGTCCAACAGGTGAACAAACCCAATGCATGGGTTTGTATGACATGCTTAAGTAGGTCTGTTACATCACCGCATCTGGACCAACATGCTAAGCCTGATAAATTTTAACCGAGCCTGCTGGTTAGTTTATGCTTCAATGTATCCATAAGCTGAGAAAATGAGAATGCAGTAACTAACTTTAACATATTCAGTGAGCACAGTTGGGGATAGAAAATAGTCCAGAGTGGATGACACACTCCAATGGGTCTTTATCGGGAGGCTTAGCATATTTGGGTTCTGCAGGGGGTTGATTTAGCTTCCAACAGACCATGGGATGCTGCAGTCATCGTAAATACGTGCGTGCTTTTTACCAAGCGCCCCAAATTATCATTGTGGCCTTAGGGATGCTGCAATGTCATGAATGCAAGAACCGGTTATAAGCCACTTTTTTTTTCCAGTATCATTGTAACTTTGAACAGTCACAAAATAAATAGTTGTAAGTAAATCAAGGACTGTCTGTATTATTTCTATGGCTGTGGGCTTTTTACAGAACACAGAATAACAGAGATGGAAGGGACCCTGGAGGTCTTCTAGTCCAGCCCCCTGCTCAAGCAAGAAGTCCTATACCCGTGATGGCTAACCTTTTTGTCCCCGAGTGCCCAAAGGGTGCACGCACCCCCAAAATGCAATGCATGCGTGTCCCCTGTGCATGCGCCTCGTCCCTGCGTATATCCTGCATGTGTGCATGGCCCCTGTGCATGGGCATGTCCCCTTCACATGTGCATGTCCACCTGACTGGTGGGAGGTGCATGCCCTATACCATTTCAAGCAAATGAGTGTCCAATTTCTTTTTAAGAACTTCCAGCGATGGAGCATTCACAACTTCTGGAGGCAAAGTTGTTCCAATGATTAATCGTTCTGACTGACGGGAAATTTCTCTTTAGTTCTAAGTTGCTTCTCCCCTTGATTAGTTTCCATCAGTTGCTTCTTGTCCAGCCTTCGGGTTCTTTGGGGAATAGCTTGACGTTGACCCGCTCTTTTTTGTGGCAGCGCCTGAGATACTGGAACTCTGCTATCAGATCACCCCCTAGTCCTTCTTTTCATTAAACTTCATTAAAATTCCAGCAACTGTTCTTCATATGTTTTAGCTTCCAAGTCCTCTAATCAACTTTGGGGTGTTTTGATTCCATTTTTAAGGAGCTGCAACTGAAGCAGTGGTAGGATTCAAAATTGGTTACTACCAGTTCTGTGGGCGTGGCTTGGTGGGCGTGGCAGGGGAAGGTTACTGCAAAATCCCCATTCCAGAAGTGGTATTCAGCAGGTTCTGACCAGTTCTGGAGAACCGGTAGGGGAAATTTGGAGTAGTTTGGAGCAGGGGTCCCCAATCACCAGGCCGCGGACCGGTACCGGTCCGTGGAACATTTCCTACCGGGCTGCCGGTTTGCTGGGC